CTGTAGGTGTACGGCAATCGATCATTTTATTTTCTGAGTCAGGCCGTGGTGGTGCTGTATGTGTACAGCAATCGTTCGTTTTATTATCTGAGTCAGGCCGTGGTGGTGCTGTATGTGATGGGATGTGGACGACACACAAACGCGATGTCCTTCAACGCTACACACACTATGTCTTTGACCGCGACACGCTCCATGTCATTCACCACGACACACTCTGTGCCCTGACGTTAACACATGAGTGAAGGCACTGGACAACTAAGGCTATGGCCGTAGTGCAGATGTGTTGTCCCTGCCATAACGAGATAACTGCAAAGTTTGGCAGCTGTAATCACTGAAGTGTGACAGGCTAACGCCATTCACGCCACTATCGCCCTGTAGTTCTTCTTCGCTTTCTCCACTTCCTTTTTTTTCAACCTAAATAATGTTCTGTGTAAACAGTATGAATTAATCAAGTAACAGAAAGTATTGTGAACGGCACTCATAGAAAGAAGTAGAAAGATAGAAGAACACAAAACATCGGGAAAAAGGCAAGGGGAGGGGGAAGGGCAAAGAGTTGTAACTGTAGATAGTACAGCAGTAGTCTCACAGGGGGAAGGGCAAAGAGTTGTAACTGTAGATAGTACAGCAGTAGTCGCACAGAGGGAAGGGCAAAGAGTTGTAACTGTAGATAGTACAACAGTTGTCGCACAGGGGGAAGGGCAAAGACTTGTAACTGTAGATAGTACAACAGTTGTCGCACAGGGGGAAGGGCAAAGACTTGTAACTGTAGATAGTACAACAGTTGTCGCACAGGGGAAAGGGCAAAGAGTTGTAACTGTAGATAGTACAGCAGTAGTCGCACAGGGGGAAGGGCAAAGACTTGTAACTGTAGATAGTACAACAGTTGTCGCACAGGGGGAAGGGCAAAGAGTTGTAACTGTAGATAATACAGCAGTAGTCGCACAGAGGGAAGGGCAAAGAGTTGTAACTGTAGATAGTACAGCAGTTGTCGCACAGGGGGAAGGGCAAAGAGTTGTAACTGTAGATAGTACAGCAGTAGTCGCACAGGGGAAAGGGCAAAGACTTGTAACTGTAGATAGTACAACAGTTGTCGCACAGGGGGGAGGGCAAAGACTTGTGACTGTAGATAGTACAACAGTAGTCGCACAGGAGAAAGGGCAAAGACTTGTAACTGTAGATAGTACAGCAGTAGTCGCACAGGGGGAAGGGCAAAGAGTTGTAACTGTAGATAGTACAGCAGTACTCGCACAGAAGGGAAAGAGGTAACTGTAGGGGTTGTCGCAAAAAGAGTTGTAACTGTAGATAGTACAACAGTTGTCGCACAGGGGAGGGCAAAGAGTTGTAACTGTAGATAGTACAGCAGTAGTCGCACAGGGGAAAGGGCAAAGACTTGTAACTGTAGATAGTACAACAGTTGTCGCACAGGGGGAGGGCAAAGACTTGTGACTGTAGATAGTACAACAGTAGTCGCACAGGAGAAAGGGAAAAGACTTGTAACTGTAGATAGTACAGCAGTAGTCGCACAGGGGGAAGGGCAAAGAGTTGTAACTGTAGATAGTACAGCAGTAGTCGCACAGGGGGAAGGGCAAAGAGTTGTAACTGTAGATAGTACAGCAGTAGTCGCACAGGGGGGAGGGCAAGGACTTGTAACTCTAGATAGTACAACAGTTGTCGCACAGGGGGAAGGGCAAAGAGTTGTAACTGTAGATAGTACAGCAGTAGTCGCACAGGGGGAAGGGCAAAGAGTTGTAACTGTAGATAGTACAGCAGTAGTCGCACAGGGGGAAGGGCAAAGAGTTGAACTGTAGATAGTACAACAGTTGTCGCACAGGGGAAGGGCAAAGAGTTGTAACTGTAGATAGTACAACAGTTGTCGCACAGGGGGAAGGGCAAAGAGTTGTAACTGTAGATAGTACAGCAGTAGTCGCACAGGGGGAAGGGCAAAGAGTTGTAACTGTAGATAGTACAGCGGTAGTCGCACAGGGGAAAGGGCAAAGAGTTGTAACTGTAGATAGTACAGCAGTAGTCGCACAGGGGGGAGGGCAAGGACTTGTAACTGTAGATAGTACAACAGTTGTCGCACAGGGGGAAGGGCAAAGAGTTGTAACTGTAGATAGTACAGCAGTTGTCGCACAGGGGGAAGGGCAAGGTCTTGTAACTGTAGATAGTACAACAGTTGTCGCACAGGGAGGGGGGGGGGCAAAATAGACAGTTAGTAACTGTAGATAGTACAACAGTTGTCGCACAGGGGAGGGGAGGGGGGGGGGGGGATAGTACAGCAGTAGTCGCAAAGAGTTGTAACTGTAGATAGTACAGCAGTAGTCGCACAGGGGGAAGGGCAAAGACTTGTAACTGTGTAGATAGTACAGCAGTAGTCGCACAGAGGGAAGGTGGGGGGGGGGGAGGAGTAACTGTAGATAGTACAGCAGTAGTCGCACAGTTGTCAAAGACAACTGTAGGATAGTACAGCAGTAGTCGCACTTGTACTGGCAAAGAGTTGTAACTGTGTAGATAGTACAACAGTAGTCGCACAGGGGGAGGACAAAGACTTGTAACTGTATTTAGTACAACAGTTGTCTCACAGGGGGAAGGGCAAAGACTTGTAACTGTGTAGATAGTACAACAGTTGTCGCACAGAGGGAAGGGCAAAGAGTTGTAACTGTAGATAGTACAGCAGTAGTCGCACAGGGGGAAGGGCAAAGAGTTGTAACTGTAGATAGTACAACAGTTGTCGCACAGGGGGAAGGGCAAAGAGTTGTAACTGTAGATAGTACAGCAGTAGTCGCACAGGAGGGATGCAAAGAGTTGTAACTGTAGATAGTACAGCAGTAGTCGCACAGGGGGGGGGGGGGGGGAAGGGGTGGGGGGGAAAGAGTTGTAAACTGTAGATAGTACAACAGTTGTACAGCAGTATGTCGCACAAAGAGTTCTAGGAGAGGGGAGGGCAGAATTCGTAACTGTGTAGATGCACAGCAGTAGTAACTGCACATAGGGTAGTCGCACAGGGGGGGAGGGGGGAAGAGTTGTAACTGTGTAGATAGTACAGCAGTAGTCGCACAGAGGGAAGGAGAGGGGAGGGGGAGAGTTGTAAATGTGTAGATAGTACAGCAGTAGTCGCACAGAGGGAAGGAGAGGGGAGGGGGAGAGTTGTAAATGTGTAGATTGCCATCATGACGTTAGTGCATAGTAAAGGACGGCGGGGGAGGGGTGGGAGACTGGTAATGTCAGAAGCAGAGGAAGAAGAAGAAGGTAATGATGATGATAAAATTTGCAGCCCTTTTAAGTACACACACGCGCGCACACAAACATGCCCCCACAAACATTCCCCCACAAACATGCCCCCACAAACATGCTCCCACAAACATGCCCCCACAAACATGCCCCCACAAACGTGCCCCAACAAACATACCCCCACAAACATGCCCCCACAAACGTGCCCCAACAAACATACCCCCACAAACATACCCCCACAAACATGCCCCCACAAACATGCCCCTACAAACGTGCCCCTGCAGATACAGACATTCACACGTGCACACGCTCATCAGAACTGTGGATAATATTTTGTCTGTCTATCTGTCCCCCAGGTCTTGTCAAGCCAGGAGAAGATTTCACCACAAATGATCAGCTAATCGCACCCAGTAACCCGGTGCCCGTGCAGCTGAGCACTCCATCACCGCTGTCTACATCCGGTGTCTCCTCAGACGTCAGTCCTGGTGTCGGTGACGTCAGCAACCAAACGGTGCCCTACGGGCGCTCTCAGAGCTGCAAGCCTCCATGACTCTCGCACAGTCGATGTAATATACACGCCCTTTCTCTTGATGCCATCTGAGTCAAATATCTGACATCCTGATTGTGCAGTTGAACTGTATCTGTAGTAGTTTGTTGGAACATTGACATCTTTACAACAAAGTTACATTTTGAAAATCTCCTACTTTGGTCTCCAAATTTGCCTGGCTGATATAGATCAATCCAGCGCCAACTATTTTTTTCTCAAAAACGCGAGCAAACAGATTGCCAGATTGTCTTCAAATTTCTGCACAAAATAATTACATTCAACAATAGATCATTGAATGTAGGAATATTGTTGTCAGGATAATTGTTCTTGGAGAGTTTGTTGGTGCAGATTTCTTAAAGTCTTGTGGTTAATTTAACTAGCCTGTGACTCGAAATGACTAAGTTCGACAACCGTGGCTCAAGGGCTGCACTGGCAAGTCACTAGTTATCGATAAGGGTGGTATTGAGTGCTCTTCTACAACACACGGAAGGAAAACCGCGGCTCTTATCGTGACAGGGCCTTGCTCGTCACTAACGACCGTGACAAACCTGATCCGTGCGGTCATAAAACATCTGTTGTGCACCTGGCAGCACACCGACATTGGTTTGATTCTTCGTAGAATTAGAATGTGTCTGGTCTCACTTGTGTGTAGATTGTTCACGACCTTTGGCCTCATTTCCCCAGTGTGTGAACATGGTGACCAGATGTGTTCATGGCTAAAAGACATTTGTCAAATCCGTGCTCTTGCAACTGGGAAATTTACTTAGTGTCCAAATACCGCAATACTTCGCAGCAACAGGATAAATACATGCGGGTTTTCATTGGTACACGTACATGATTATCGAACAGTCATAAATAAAAATAGAACAAGTGAAGGCACCAAGAGTTGGTGGCTGCAACAAGTCAACTCCAGCCGACATCACAGCCTTGACCGGGGATCACTACTGCTTCTGCTACTTTCTGTAGCTCACAAGATGACCAAACCTTTCCACTGGAGTCAACTGTCTCTGCGCTACCACACATTGTCCCAAACGATCGCTCAACCTGTGTGATTTAATAACTACAAGCTAAGGTTCTGGCTGGAAACATTCAATATGCTTCTGTATTTCTCCTGCATTCGAGAGACTGGTTTGACATCTGTGATAAACGAACCAGCATAACTTTGATTCATTCAGCTGAGCTCCAGTTTAAGCCATCGTCTGGTGGCACAAAGAACTGCTGAATGAACAGCGATGTCAAGCGACGGATCTCGTTCTCGGCCGACTCAGTGCTGACTGCCGTGGTACAAGATGCAGACACCAGCGAGCTTGTGCGCATACTGGACAACCACGGAGACGAGATCCGGGTCAACCAGGTCAACCATGTGGGATTGACAGCCTTGCATCACGGCGTCCTTAGCAACAACTTGGACGCTGTGAAGCTGTTGCTGTGCAACGGTGCTGACGTCAACGTGCAAGACATTCACGGCTTCTCGCCGTTGCACACCGCGGCGGCCTGCGGGTTTACCCAGATTGCCAGTCTGTTGGTGCTGTACGGTGCAGACGTCTTCTCTCTGACCACCCAGAAAGAGATGCCCATTGACGTGGCCAAGGACATTGGGGTCATCCGCCTCCTGTCGGAGGAGATGCGGAGACACCACCATCAGGAGCTGTTCCTCACCGCATTCATGTGTAGAAAAGCCCAGGATGCCTGGACGATCCTCAGACAGCAGACGTTGCGACTTGTGGATGAGTTTATGCAAATGTTGATTCAGATGTGGAAAAGACACCGGACAAAACAGAATTTGAAAATGGAGTAGGTTCTCAGATGAGGAACATACTTCTGTGTAATGATTGTCAGAGGATGTAATCAGCCGTTCTTTTCGTCATATTCTCGTCCCCTCCTCCTCCTTCTTGTTTGAGCCCTCTCAGCTATGCATCTAAAGCCATCGGCACTAAAGAAGTCGTGAAGAATATCTCCTGTAATGGGACCTGTTGAAACTATCTTATGACGGGTTTACCAATGCATTTCTAACTAATCTCTTGTCTTCACTGACAAGATCACTAAATTATCGACATATAACTCTGTTGTTTTCCAAGTGCCTTGCCACCTGGTGTTGGCGATCTTGCAGTCCACAACCTTGTGCAGGACAAGACATCTTTCTCTCCTGGCCTCTGTCACAACATTACCACAACCTACAGGACTTGTCCTGAACTTACTGGCATTCTTCTATGGAGATGTGTTTCTGTGTGGTTAGTACCAGTTGTCAAACATTGGCAATCAAATGTTGGATCAGCTTCTGTATAACACCTACGCTGCAATCTATAACAAAATATTGCACCGCTTGTTAACATGTACGTTCGCCTGCATGCGTCAGAGTCATGGGTTCGAATCCCCACAGAGTTGGATTTTGATTTGTTCCAAAATGGATCTTAGCTCCGACGTTGATTGAGCTGAAATGGGTACCAGGTAATGCTCTGGAAAGTAAAGGCGGTCTGCTTAAAGTTGAACAAAACTTCTACATAGTGCTAGTTGGTCTACAGACTTATGAGTCTATCATACAACGCCAGGAGAGCTTCTACTTACTGTTTAAATGTGTGTGCATTATTGTGTTTGTTTTACTGTGGACAATATATTCTAGAACTAGTGTCCGATGACAAGGGGCCCTGAAAAGAAGCGATAGGGCCCTGAAAAGAAGCGATAGGGCCCTGAAAAGAAGCGATAGGGCCCTGAAAAGAAGCGACAGTCTCCATGTATGCTGCTGGTCATTCAGGGTTAGATGCACAAATATTGACAGGTCAAGGAAATTCACGGCCAAGTCACGAAGTCAGAACACGGCTTGCGAACAGGACACCGTAATGGCCACGAAAGAACGAAAGCAACACACACTGAACATGATGACGCAATAAACCATAAACACACTGAAAGCAGCCAACACGTGACACACCTTGAACATAGCAGTTTGAGTGTTGTATGGTTTCTGTTAAATAAGACCGACTAACATTCACCCCCACCCCATAATATAGGACTTTCCAGAGAACTCCCTGGCAATTCCCTACCAAATCTCGCAGCTGCCGAGATGGGTTGACGAAAAGCTTAAAAGAATCCAACCGTATACTCCATCCTGTGACCTGACGATCAGCTCTGTTGGTGCCCTGCAGTACTGCAGCGACCACAGATACCACCATGAGAGTTGAAACCTCCATGTGTAGATAGAGGCCTGGCAACACAAGATTTCACAAAACACTGATCCACTACAAGTAAGGACCGTAGCAGAGGAACACATCAGAATCTGATTACCTGACAATATATACTTCCAAACTCCTATCGTTCACACAGCAGTTGTATTTTATCAATGAAGGATGTTATGTTCATGTAATAATATGCAAATTATGTAGTCAAAAACAAAAGCATTGGTGGTGAAATGCATGCGCACGCTCACGAGCGCACAGACAAACCCATTTACTCACTTACACACACCCATAGGCACCCAATACATACACACATACACATATATACATGCACATACGTACATACACATACATCCACATACATACATGCTACATACATACATACTCACATACATACATACATACATACATACATACATACATACATACATACATACATACATACATACATACATACATACATACATACATACATACATACATACATACATACATACATACATACATACATACATACACATGCACATACATACATACACATACATACATGCTACACACATACATACACATACATATATATACATACATACATGCATGCATACATACATACATACATACATACATACATACATACATACATACATACATACATACATACATACATACTACACACATACATACATACATACATACATACATACATACATACATACATACATACATACATACATACATACACACACACACACACACACACACACACACCGACATCATACCTGGTGCAGAATGGATACCTGTGCCTCAGGCGTTTATTTGTACATTTTCCTGTATTGTCACACTCAACAGGCGATGTAGAGAAGAGAATCCTGTTGCTGTTAATGCAGAGGTCAACGCTCTCATCGGTGAAAATTCAGACGAAGCAGATGCAATAATCTATACAGACGGATCCGTTATACGCCAAAGAAGAAGCGCATGGGCATTTACAGCACGCTCAGCGGGCAGAACAGTCAAAGAAGCCAACGGCGCCTTCCTCCATGACAACCAGCAGCATGACGAATGGAAGTGATGGCAGTGACACAAGCGCTTGCCTGGCTTGAAACAACAAAAATACACCCGCGTGTGTATACTCAGTGATTCAATGAGTATGATCCGGAGGGTTCAGGCAGGTTCAGTGCGAAGACAATGGCTTGAATCATTACAGAAGTCCACTGTTCGTGGAATCACCTTTATTTTTGTTCCGGGACACGCAGGCGTCGATGGAAATGAAAGAGCTGACAGGTTGGCTGGATCCGCTATCACTACCGACGGTCAGCCTATGGATCATGCTGATATTATCAATGCCCTCAGAGAAATGGGAAGAATAGAGGACTTTGGTGGCAGTGAATCCACATCACTCGCCAGAATGGCAGACTTGGGAATTAAGATCGGCACAGCAAAAAACGAGACGCACACCAGACGACTTGTCAATCAACATAGAACTGGTACTATTAGCCATCGGACGTTGGGGTTCATACTGAGGGGAGGATCTGAGCACCTATGGACATGTCCGGAGTGCAATGAGGGTAACCCAACTAACTAACTAACTAACTAACTAACTAACTAACACACACACACACACACACACACACATACATACATACATACATACATACATACATACATACATACATACATACATACATACATACATACATACATACATACATACATACATACATACATACATACATACATACATACATACATACATACATACATACATACATACATTCATACATAATACATACATACATACATACATACATTCATACATAATACATACATACATACATACATACATACATACATACATACATACATACATACATACATACATACATACATACATACATACATACATACACAGTCACGCACACAGTCTCAAAAACACACACTCTAAGACATACACGCAAACAAGCCAGATACTTTTAGGTAAAGTAGAGTAGTAGTAGCAGGTGTTTATGTGTCTTTTTAGGGGGAAAAAATTCTTATAAAATCACAGATCATTCGTCAGTTTTCACAGCTGAACTAGTCGGCATAATGGGAACCTTAGAGATAGCAGCAGAAAACTCCCCCCCCCCCCCCCCCTTAAAACTGACTATAATGACAGATTCTCTGTCATCGATACAGTTAGGAGAAAACTATACTAATGGAAGTAGATCGGACATTAAAGAGGAGATATCAACACTAACCACACAGTTTAGGATCAACGGATGCCAGATCACCATAGCATAGTTTCCAGTGCATAGATTTATAGTTGGTCATGAAAAAAGCGGACTTTTGTAAAAAACACGGTATGTCCCAGGAATGTGGAAGAGACCGTGGGAACTGAGTGCTACAGGCGGAAGTGCGTGCCAATATTTGGAGACAGCCCGCCCTGACATGAAAGGTCTTAGACAACCTAAACGTTCCAGCAAATAACAGATTTTGGAGATTAAGACTTGGATACTGTAAAGCCAAATTTACAGCACCCTTATGCCTAGACTGCTTTTAGGAAAAGACAACAGACCACTTCCTGCTAACTTACACCCGAAATAAACAGAAAGGAAAACTCCTGGAAGACTATTTTTAAAAAAAACAAAAAAAGTACTTGACATCCAAGGAACGCTTACATTTAGATAGCCATGTGAACATACAGAAACAAACCAAGGAATGCTTACATGTAGATAGCCATGTGAACATACAGAAACAAACCAAGGAATGCTTTCATGTAGATAGCCATGTGAACATACAGAAACAAACCAAGGAACGCTTACATGTAGATAGCCATGTGAACATACAAAAACAAACCAAGGAATGCTTACATGTAGATAGCCATGTGAACATACAGAAACAAGCCAAGGAATGCTTACATGTAGATAGCCATGTGAACATACAGAAACAAACCAAGGAACGCTTACATGTAGATAGCCATGTGAACATACAGAAACAAACCAAGGAACGCTTACATGTAGATAGCCATGTGAACCTACAGAAACAAGCCAAGGAACGCTTACATGTAGATAGCCATGTGGACATACAGAAAAAAACCAAGGAATGCTTACATGTAGATAGCCATGTGAACATATAGAAACAAACCAAGGAATGCTTACATGTAGATAGCCATGTGAACATACAGAAACAAAGGTTCTTAATTTATAACGTACCCCAAACACGAAATCCTCGTGGGAAATCCACAGCTGACCTGACAGTCCATTATTTAAAGGGGTGAGAGTGTGCTGTTGTGTGTGTTGTTGTTTTTTTTTTTTTTATAGTCTTCATCTAGTGTCTTCTAATCCTAACCCTAACCCTAACGCAAACCATAACCCTAACCCTAAACTTGGCTGTAGATAAATCGCGAGAAACTACAACCTGAACACCCTAGAATTTATTGGGATTGTCTCCCGTGATGTTGTCGTGACGTCAGGGGTAAGTTATAAATTAAGTACCGAAACAAACCAAGGAGCGCTTACATGTGAACATACAGAAACAAACCAAGGAACGCTTACATGTAGATAGCCATGTGAACCTACAGAAACAAACCAAGGAACGCTTACATGTAGATAGCTATGTGAACATACAGAAACAAACCAAGGAACGCTTACATGTA